AACAACAACAACAATTTATAATTAAAATACAACCTACCTCAAATTATGATATATACTGTGATTTATTTTCCCCACAAAAGAAGGAGACTTGTATGGGGACTCTGGATTTCCTGTGACATAAAGAAATGCTTGTGTTTTATTTCACACTTAGGATTTGTTATTAATTTGGTTGCACTCTCGACAGGGTAAAGATAAGAGAAACAAACTTAATGATAAACAAATTAGGAAACAAAAAGCCACACTCATAATTTGAGTATTGATACGAACTAAATGACTTAATGCAGCTGAGTTACATATGCACTAGATACTAAGTTTTAGATCAGTGGCACGATCTAATCAATTTCACCAAATATTTTAAGGAAAAAAAAAAAACTAAAATAATAGAGTAATAACAGAACAAAATCAAATGACATTATTTTTATCCAAAATGCAATTCAAACAGTGATGTCAGAGCAAGAATATTGGTCACTATGTTTTATTTCTAAGTACCGTAAAGAATTCTAATTATAGAAGGTTTAAAAGTTAAACAAGAACTTACAAAAAAAATTAGTGAAATTTGAAAAGTCTAAGGTAAATAGGGCAAAAATACCATAATGAATTAAGATTGGGTGATTTTACAAATTACTTACTATTAGGTTTTGCTTAGCAAAGTGCAGTTCCCGTATAACATAATAAAGACTTGCAACTACAGAGCAAATATCAGCCCTGTATCTATCTGAGAAGAGCTCAATGCCTGGAAGAAGTTGAGTGATTTCATATTGAGCATAACATCGTTCAGCTTTAGGATGTGGGAGGGTTGTTCTCAGCAAACCCTGAAAAATAATAAAATGTGAAATAAAGAGCTATCAAATTGCATTTGCATCAATGGACCAAACTAATAAGTCCCTGGATTACTTCCTAAAGTGCCTAGCGCATACCTAGCAGATCTGTGGGTGGTGGAAACGGTTAACACACTTGGTTGCTAAAAAAAGTTTGAGTCCTCCCAGAGGAATGTGGGAAGAACAGCCTGGTGGTCTACTTCTGCAAAATCAGCCATTGAACATTTTATGAGCACAGTTCTATTCTGACACACATGAGGTCACCAGGAGTTAAAATTAACTCAATGGCAAGTGGTTTTATCATTAATATTGTCATCTTTATAGGTTCCAAATGCTTCCATCATTCAAGATGGGTCTTTTGAATTTCAT